TTTTTTTAATACCATAGATATGTATATAATTTGTCTTAAACCTAGACTGACATACCGTCTTCGCTCCGAATCGTTTTTCTTATACAATGATATTGTATCATTGAATTCAAATTTAATAGCATCCATTATACAGTGACCCACTTGTAACCTACTGTACAGCAGAGCGACATCCACTTACCCACCTTTTTTAAATATTGATTTGCATGGAATTGAAAATAATAGTACCAAGTTATGTTGACTTCATATTTTTTATAAAGTGTTTATTACAATAAAAGGTAATGTAATATTGTTGAATATGTATACATGTGTCATTTCCAATGAATACAATTTTTAATTTTAAAAAAGTGTTACTGTCACATATCCAATGACTAAAAATATTTGGTCTCCGGACTCCTGGTAAAAGTACAGAAATATGTATTTTAATAATACCTAATGACTAATAGTATGAACAATACATGTCAACATGTTTAACACATATTATATAGTATATTATAGCAGTGGTCTTCAACCTTTTTGGACTTGCGACCCACTTTTTTAGGCCTACATTTTTTGCGACCCACGTAAGCTTTTTTAATAAAAGCTAAATATGCCTAATGCTTTGCAGTAGTACTATTAAAACTGAATAAATAAAAATTACATTTTAGTAGGTAGAATATTTAATTATTATTAATTGAAAATGTATAGAATTTATATGAAGTTATAAAATTAAATAAAAATATGATACAAACAATTTAATTTGAATTATTTTTTTACCTTAGGTACATAATTTTATAAACTTAATTTTTATTTTGAAAAGAAGAAATTTCAAATCTTGCAAGACCCAAAAATGGGTCGCAACCCACCGTTTTTAGAAGACCACTGGTATATAGGTTTCACATCTATGGCAATGATGTTATGATGATTGTAAAAACTTAAAACAAACTATTAACTTTATATTTTACGTCACATTTTAATTTTGTGGTAACTTACCTATGGCTATACATATACAATAAATATAAAAAAAATAAAAATAAATTAATAGGTATTTAAAATATAATATGGTTCCATTACATTAGTCAACATTATTCTAACATATTTTCTTGAAAATAATATAGGTTTTTGTTTTTATACGTTTTCTATATTAGGTATGATGTTCTAAATCTTTAGTTTATTATTTATCGTTCGACAGTTTATTCAAACCTTGCAATGAAAACAATTTTGGTCTTATTTTCAAAAATATTATTAATATTTAAAGTATGTATATCTATTAAAGTACCTGAGCAAATCTATTGAAATTAAATTTATCTGTACTTACAATTTTTATTGTTTGGAAAAATTACACCAAATAAACGTTTTTTACTCAATAATAGTACAATAGTACCTACCAACCATTTTGTCAACCGTCAGGAATCTTACTACATGGTATTATATTATACCGTTATGACGTTATATATTGGTAATAATATATATTTCTAATACATTATTTCTACATACCATACCTATACATATTATATTAATTTAATGTGCAATTCATACCTTTATTATCCGTACAGGTAGGGGTAGGTACTACATATTAACTACCTACTGATTTTTTTTTATAAAAATACAATACTAGGTAATTAATATTAATAATTTATTAAAGTGCATTTTTTGTTGGTAATAGTGAAACTTAGTTTTGGTAGTACATAATTTTAATTATGTAATTACGCATTGTCGGACTGGTTCGAAAAGGCCCAGTCTGCGATTTGGAAAAAAGGGCCCAGTCAATAGGAAATGGCAAATGTTTTGATCAGCCCAAAAAAAAACTCGCTCTCAATCCAATTTTCATGTACATAGTCACATAGAACATTTTTTTTTTCAATACAATTTCTATCCTTCATATTTATCAAACAGCACAAATAACTAAAAACATAACTGCAATTCAATCATTCGATATATTAACTGGTATTACTTACTATACTTTCAATATAAAATGTATATTAGGCATATTTTCAAATGCTAAGACATTTTCTGCAGGTCGTTAGTAAATTGATGACAAAAGACCTATCTGAGGTTTTTTATTATCAGACAGGGGAAATCCCTCCTATTCAACACCCCAATTACGCCCAGTGGCGTATACATAACTTTTGTATGGGGGGGGATCAGTTGAAAACAAATTATTATGGAACGAAAATACCTAAACCTAGGTATGTGCTCATTTAAATACCTAATAAATGATAAAACATATATATATATTCAATACATTTTATTTTAAATTCTATAAGTAATTATAGAACAAAATTTAATTTTCTTTTTTTTTAGTCAATAATATTTATTATTTAAGCTATTTTTAGCTTTCAATGAATAAAATACTGATAGCTATTAGCTAGTATGTTGTAGGTATATCCATGTTAGTTGATAATATACAAAATTGATAATGTTTTGGTATAAATGCGTAAAAACCATCGTGCAATAACCTTATATTCAGTGGCGTCCGCAGGATTTTTCAATGGGGGGGGGCTTGAAAATTAGTTACATTTTTATTTTGTCCAGTCTAATAATTTCTGACGTTTATTTGAGGTATTTTAAAATGTTTGTAACTTTTCAACTTTTCTGGTAGAAAAAATGCTCTGATCATAAGCTTCGATGCCCAATGTATGTTTTTGGAAGCAAATTGGATCTAGTTTGTACTTTTAGGAGGTCGAAATTGAAAATGCTCAGTGCTTTTAAAAATAATTGGAGAAAAAAAATGAAAATTTATTTAAATGTTTGGTTATACCGTCTTCACTTGGATTGTATATGAATAATTAAATTTTTTTTTTCTATAAATGTCAATAAAAAATTATTTATCCGGTCAAAAATCTTAAAAATGTAATACGTAAGTTATTTTTTTATAGCTAAAATATTAACGATACATAGGCATAGTGTGAAAACATTTCATGAAATTTAAAAAAATGAAATATTTCAGTATTTTGATATATTTTGTTTTATTTTTAAATAAGTTTTATATTTACAAATAATTGTCATAAATTACCTTCTAAACTGTATGTATATACCTAACCTTTGGTATTATACATTTAAAATGGTATTCAACATTTTTAAATATTTTAATGTTTAAATGATACAAGTAGGTATACAATATTATACATGCATATTGTATAAATACTGAATTCTGTCATTAGAATTTAGAACACTGAACATTGTGTTAAAAAAATAAAAAAATAGTGTTTTTTTTTGTGTAAAAAAATTTCAATGTGTCACGTTTTTGTGAAATATTTCATACTTCAAACACTACATAGGCACCATGGTTATTTTTTATAAGCATTTAAAGTTAAAATTTCGTCAAAATGACAGTTAATTCGTAGTTCAAAACTTATAAAATATAAAATAAATATAGCTAAGGCTAGACAATTTAATACAAGGTCTTCCATACAAGTAGTTCATACTTTTACCTAAAAATTACAAATAATTTATGAAAATTGGTATGCAAATACAATGTTCTTTCAAAAATGAATTCATTCTGGTAAGACATATATGAAATTTACTTCTTGCTTACTATAGTTGACAGTTTAACTTGATTAATATTTTTTTTTTAAAGTAACAATAATACGGGCAATGGGGGGGGGCTTCAGCCCTTTAGCCCCCCCCCCCTGTGGACGCCACTGCTTATATTATACCATAATAATATTTCTTTTTCTAATGTATAGGAAAATGTATTATTATACGCACGGACATGCGGGCGTCGTCTCCGCCGCGTTGATATCGGTGACGGTGGCGACGGCCCGTGGCTGGTTTGCCACATATTATTATTCTTATAATAATTTATTATACGTCTTGTATATATAATATACCTACATATTATCAAATATCACATAATACGATTATATGATTATGAAATAAATATATGATCACTGATTAATATTAAGTAAATTATTTTTAATTAATTGTTGAATATTGTGTTAAAATAAAAATTTACAAAAAAATCCTTGCCATTTTTTTTCCTTGTAATTTCCTTACATTAAGTCATTAAGAACACTATTTTATAAAATTTAAAAAAAGGCCTTTGGGGGGGGATCTGACCCCCACATCCCCCCCTTGTATACGCCCCTGATTACGCCACTGGGGTATACTGGCTACATCACGTTCTGTGACATCAAACATTATAAAGAAAAACACCGATTCAAATTGTGTCAAACTGTGCACTAGTACAATACTTATCCAAAATATAATAATTCAGTTAAAATCAGTTATAATGCGAAATAATACCAAGTCATACGCATACGCCCGTATAAATATAATATAATGTTATTTAAGATCATTCAGAGCACTATTTGTTTTCTTTAATATATTGTTTCAAACACAGATGAAATATATGATTAAAAACCAATATCACAATTTATTTTTCTAAGTGTTTAAAGTTTAAATATGGATAAAGTATAATAAAATGTGCAAATTATTTTGAGCTATAAACTCATAAAAATGTTCTTATTTTTTTCTAAGACTTTAAAGTATAATACAATATTCCTCATAAGTTTGTCTACATTTATCAACAAAAAAATGTCTACAAGAAATCAAATTAAATTTTTATGAGCGTTGAAGTTAAAATTTTTACAATATTGAATATTCATTCGATTTCTCATTTAGCGAATTTCTTATTTTGTTGTAATTCAAAAACAAATAACTGGCAATTTCAAATTTAAATTTTATTAGTTTTTTTTCTATAAATCTCAATAAAGTTTTAATAATTGTTGGGCCAAAAAGCACGAAAATTTGATACAAAGCTCCTGATATTTTGGTACAATAGCAAATTGAAAAATATTAAAAATACATAATATGTCCACATAGTTCACGCGATGTTCACTTTTATGTTTCAGTACATTTTGTGTCATATTAAATAAAGTTAAATATATTAAAATGTCAAACAGTATTTTGTTTATAATGTTCAAAATACAACACTATCTACCAGAAAATATACTGAAGTTTAAATTGAAGTATTTTTTCAACTACTTTTTGTGTATATACTATACTTGTATATTATTAAAATGTTAATTGTTTTGCAGATCAAGAAAATGTTTTCTTTACGTAAGTTAGCTTACTATGTTTGCGACGAAGAAGAAAGAACATTTTATGACGACTTAGAGACGATCAAAATCGACATTCAACATTGTTGTAGTGATTTATTGACATTTTTACAAAATTTGACAAATTCAAATAATATGGATGACAATATTGATTTAAACTATGGCGGTAAGTCTAAAGATAGCGTAGATAAATGATATGGTCTAAACGAATATAACGCAAAAAGAACGACTGTGTAGCACATTTTTAGTGTCCAACTATTTACCCTTTTTTACATAACCCAAATACTGATCCTTATTAATTGATGTTTAAATCAAAAGTTAAATACCACCCGGGTCAATCACTTTCATATCTCTTTATCCGAGCCTGCAGTATACATACGATATCGATCGATCGTATTGGGGAAAATAATAATAATGCTCGTGAATGGGGGTAGGGATTTTGGGGTCTGAAAGTATTTATTCAAATAGTAGTGCCAGGTCGTTTGGAAGCTTTCTCCAAATATGTTGTTTAATATATTTGTTAAAATGGTCAAACTTTATTTTTTTTCAGAATACTCGATGATTGAGAAGGCCTCAGCTAGTGTACATCTGGAGTGCTTGACGTTCGCCGAAAGTCGCGGGTTCCCATAAACGCGAACGGTATGCATGCTGGCGGTTGCCAATGGACAATTCGAGTGCCTTAATTACGCACACGACCGGGGTTGTCTATGGGACGAGTCGGTGTGTGAGTACGCCGCGGCCAACGGCCACTTGGAGTGCCTGAGATACGCCCGGGAACAGGGTTGTCCATGGGACTTGTACGCTTGTGAAAAAGCGGCCAAAAATGGGCAACTTGAGTGCTTGGCGTACCTCCATGACAACGGGTGTCCTTTTGACGAGTCCACTTGTGACGCGGCCGCGGCAGGTTGGCACATCGACGTACTGTGGTATGCGTACGAACATGACTGTCCCTGGGACTCGGCCACATGTCGGGAATCCGCGGCAAACGGCCACCTAACTAATCTAACCTAACTTGTCTTGTGTACGCTCATGAAAATGGTTGTCTGTGGGACTGCACGCCATGTTAAGAGGCCGCAGCCGGCGGCCACCTCGACGGTCTAATGTACGCGCACAACAACGGCTGCCTTTGGGATATGACAACGTGTGACGAGGCAGCGTCAAACGGGCACGGCCAATGCCTGCAATACGTCCTGGAAAACGGTTGAGAGTGGGACAGACGCATTCCATGGTAATATTACCTCAATGTATTGTCATGATAACCAAAAATTCATTGTCTATTTTGGTTGAAATCAAAATTTTTTATTTTTTCATTTTCCTTCAGGTGAAATCGGGTTATACAACTGAAATTGGAGTTCATCCGAAGTTAATAGCCTCAAAAAATGACTAGACCGTTTTCAATAAAAGTGTACACGAAGACTCCCGGGTTTTGGTGCCTGTTTGCTAGTCGAGAGGTTCACAGTCGACGTACGGTGGTTTTACCCACACAAGTCCGCCAGCCGGCCGTCAGAAAGGCCGTCGTAATAAAAGTGTACAGTGTGACCTTAGTGTAACTTTTAGTGTATTGCAGTTGTTCATGATTTAGACATTTTATGTAACATACAATAAGTAATAATTTAAATTAGATCAACAAAAGTTTTGATAGACCATGGGCCACCTGTATAATACTTGCTTAAACCTAAAATACCTAAAATAATTTGTTTTAACGAACATTCTTGTACGACGAGAAATCATTGTTTATGATTATGAATATACGATCCTTTTTGCCCAGTTTCCATTTACCATATTTGTATTCATTTTCTTCTTTTTAGCAGACTCCATTATGTTTTGTTCGTTTTCTATCGATTGTACCATTGCAATAATGTTTCTCGGTCTATTACTTTATTAAGAATGCGATGTGTGGCCAAAAAACATTAACTATTGTTAACTTAGTTATAAGTTATAATGTTTTTTCCCAAATTAGTGTTATATACAATCATGGTCTAAAACTATGCCAAACTTTAAATATTAATGTAAATTATTTTTGTAATTTAAATTCATTCAAAACCTATGTAAATATTCTTGATTTATCTAGTATAAAATTAATATTATTGAATATATTACTGTTTACTTACGTATACTACATTTTTTCTGTAATTATTTTATACATTTATTCTAATTAAAATATTGATCACTATACTTTTTGTTCAAATGTGTACCATTTTTTTTGCTATTATATGTAAATTATAACCGATAAGATCTGTTTCCCCAGCACAAGCTCGGCTTTTAGGGGTTGCTGAAATTTAATTTATGTTAATTGTATATAATATTATAATGTATCACCTATATTTTTTGCTATTGTGTTTTTTAATTTTTAATTATCTTCTTTCAGTTCTTTAACTATTTTATTTTTTGTAACCAAGAGCAACCTTATAAGTTATAATAAACAAAATACAATCAACATATTATTTTTTGGGCGAACCTATTGTATTTTTGAAATTCGGATTTCCTACAGATTTACCTACTTTAGATTTAATTAAAATGTTTTTTTCATACAAACTTTGTCTATGGCCAGAAAAAGAAAAATTAATTAGCCAAATAGGATGAAATGATGCGTGGACAAACATTTGGGGCCTTTGATTTTTATTCAAGTATAAGATAAAAGAATGACGGTCCAAAAAAAAAACCTTTTAGTAGGTAAATAGGCACACAAGTACATTTTTAGATATATTTAATGAACTTTTGTTAAACAATTTAGTACACCTTACTTATTGTTAATGAATCAAGCAGTTTTATTTTTGCATTCGATTTAATTGTTTTGATTTTATTGGATGTACACAACAAGTATTTATACAGCATAAATAATATAATAACCATAATATTCATTTAGCAAACAAACAAAATAAAACAATATTTACAAACAAATTATGGTAGGTTTGCAAGCTCATCCAATAAGCATAGATATGCTTGTAGACGGATGATCTGGGTTCATGTTATGAGTATTATAAAAGTATACAAATAAAATAAAAAAAGGAAGAAAAAAAGTTCAACATTAAGAGTAGTTACTTAAAATTATCATTGAACTAAAAAGTGGACATTTACAACCAAGATAAAATCACGGGTAAACTTAATAAATCTAATATGATATATAGATTTTATTTTTAATATTCCACATACATAAGCACAACCTAATATAACCTGCTGTTTGAGCCTTTGAGGTAAGTAATAACATGTTTGAAACATTTGTACCTAAATTAATTTTTAAGACAGTATTTTTGGTATGGTTTTTTACCTTTGGCTTTAGACTATTAACTTCGTACATGGTTGACATGACAATATATAGGTAATACCAGATTTAAATTTAGCATAAGTACTACAATAGTTACACAAAAACAACAGAAAACGAGGACATCACAATCAGCTCACGTAAGTAGTTTGTCGGAATTATGAAGACAAATAGATCAATATGGTTGTAAATTTGATACATTTTTTAAAAGCGGGGTAAAAACATATAAGTCACATATATCTCGAACCTATCAGTGCATTAACAGTAGGCGGATTTCAGGAAAATGCATTCTTTTGTGGAGTGATGTTTCTGTTACAACTTACTACAAAATATATTTATATGTAAGCATAATATCTTTGTATGCTTATTACTGTTAGTTATTAAATTTATAGTTTAAATTATATTTAAAATTATAACAACATAAAGCACAATATTATTATTATATTTAATACTAAAATATAACATAAACTGTATTACAAAATATGCTAGCTAAAATATTTGATCAATATTTATACTAAAATTTTTGTCCAAAAATAGCGAATCGAAACAATTTCATACTTACTGGAAAATAAGTATTTATTTGGTAAACGAGTTGAACACATTTATTTAATTAATACAACTGAGTGGATCATTCTAATATTCAATATGCTTATTTTTTATTTAATGACCTCAAGTAGCCTAAAACTTATTAACTATACAACAACAATAATTACTAAATATCTGATTCGGACAGCAATCATACTGTAATTTAAATTTTAATGTTTGTTATGCCCTAAAAACTGCAACGACTGAATACAAATTTTGGCTGCTTACTTATACATAGTCACCATGCGTCACACGTATTATATAAGACATCGGATAAATTATAAAATGTGATAAAAAATGGGGGCGTGGCAGAAACCTTCATGTGGTGCCCCTGTTAATGATGTGTTCCCACAGCTAACTAATTCTGCCAACACCGGTGCATCGGACACGACAAGAAGAAGAATTATAAAAATACGTAAAATTTTCATGTATCTACAGTTATTCGTTTTTGAATTACAACAAAATAAGGAAATCGCTACATGAGAAATCGCGTGAATATCCAATATTGTAAAATAATGAATTTCAAACGCTCATAAAAATTTAATTTGAGTTTCTTGTGTACATTTTTTTTTTTTTTGATAAGGGTAGACAAACTTATGAGGAATCTTGTATTACATTTTCAATTCTTAGATTTAAAAAGGATAATTCTTATGATTTCTCAACACAAAATAATTTGCTAATTTTCGTGTCTTTTCCGTATTTTGTCAATATTTGAACTTTAAATGCTTATAAAAAAAAAATGTGGCTATGTATTTTTAATATTTTTCAACTGATATTGTAACAATATATCAGGAGCCTAAAAAAAACACACATCATTGTAAAATCAATACATTCATCGTTCCAATCAGAATCTAAAACATAATATTAGGTATATTACACTGTATTATCATTAATTTTGTTAAAACATTTGTTTAATCTAATCTTTTTGTGTAACTGTATGATATTATATTAAACGTTAAACAATAAACCCTATATTTTTAATAACACGTTCAATAGTTTAATGTGTTATTCAGAATACAACTCAATATTTCATTGGTATTTTTGTTACCGAAAAATATGCGGCAATGTACATAATATAAAATCGATACTTCATTCAGAAATATTATTCTCTATGTTTTTTGTAATGAGTGATTTTGTTATATTATGATCCATTAAAAACAGTTTATTTCTATGAAACCAAAATTATAGTAATTATTTTAATAATTAATAGTGAATAAATTTAATAGAATTATGTTAAAATTTAAAATCTCAATGTTTTTAGTTTTTTTTTCTATAAATATCAATTAAGTTTTATCTGTTGGTCCAAAAAGTGTGAAAATTTAATACAAGGCACCAGATATACAACATCAGGTGAAAAATATTAAATATACTTAGGCACAATTTTTTTTATGAGCATATAAAGTTCGATTTTGACAACATTTATTAAATTTAAGATTTAAAAACGATTTTGTAGTTCACAATGTATAAAATGTTCAACTTTAATAGCCATATCACTAGGTGCAGATATCATGTGTGACGAATGAAGCGCAATAACAACAAAATAACTACCTAAAATTATTATGCATGGTTATTTAATATGTAATTAGGACCAAATTTTACCATAACGTAACTATAAAATAAAACTGCGTTTTTATATTTTTGACATATTTTTATTAAACTATAACCTACTTACGTAGAACAATGTTTTAAAGTTCAATCCATGGCCATAAAAGTTGATCATTTTATACATTTTTAACTATAAAATCGTTTTTAAATCTTAAATTCAATAAATGTTATCAAAATCGAACTTTAAAAGATCATAAAAATAATTGTGTCTAAGTATTTTTAATATTTTTAACCTGATATTGTAACAATATATCAGGAGCCTTGTATTAAATGTTTACACTCTATAGCCCAACAGATAAATCATTATTGATATTTTATAGAAGAAAAAACAAAAAAAAAATTAAAAATTGAAAATGTCCGCAAACAGCTAAAAAAGAGTCAAAACATTTTCAAAATTGTATAGTGTAAAGGAAACGCTAATATAAATATTCAGTGAAATTTTCTGTATCTAGATTCATTCATTTTAGAGTAACAACAAAACCAAAATCGATTAAGCGTAAAAATTCCCGTTTTTCCTTAATTTTTCTTTTATTTATCACGTCGCTTATGAAATCTAATGGAAAATTTTTACTTTTGACCCAAAAAAGTACCAACTAAATTCCCTTTTCTATCAGAAAAGATACTGTTGAAGAAAATCCAAGCACGTTTACTGTCCTAAAAGATGATGACAAACATAAAAAAAAATAAAAAAAGGTGCTCTTCTGTACAGTACCTAGGTTACAAGTGGGTCACTGTATAATGTATGGTATTAAATTTTAATTCAATGATATAATATCATTGTATAAGTAAAGCGATTCTGAGTGGAGACGATATGTCAGTCTAGGTATAACACATATTATATTCTTATCTATAATATTTTAAAACTGAACTAGGTAATAGGTACCTATAATAAATTCCAAATTAATCATATCACAATATTCATTACCTAGGTACTTATAACACGTTATCATCAACAACAAACCCTGATACTATCATAGATATATAATAGTGTACTTTAGAAGTTTCAAGTACAAAATCACTAAAATAGTTATTCTGGGTTTTTTATTATGTAATTTCGTCCAAATTTGATACCTATTTACCTATGTAATTATGTAAGTATGTACCTAATAAGCCTATACTTATTATCTAGCAACTATTGTTTTAATTGTGTCTATAGTGGTCTATTATACTGCTTATACCGAGGCTTATATACCTAATACATTCAGTAACGTTGGTACCTAGGTAATTATATGTTACTCGTCAATCCGCAATCGTATGCCATAATATATATCTACACGGTAATAGGTAGATACGTTTTCAGTTATAACTTAAAAGCAATTATACAATAATCAGTTAAGCTAATTTTATAGCTAATGATTGAAATTTTAAAACAAAATTCCACGTAAGTAGTTAATTTTGTTAAAAACTCTAAACAATACGTAGACACAGTTTATTTTTATAGTCATTTAAAGTTCAAATTTGGACAAAAGTTGACTTTCAGTAATTTTTTTTTTTAAATTATTTCTTCTTGTATTATTATTATATTAAAAAAAAAAAAAAAATAAATAAGAAAGATGTTATGATAAGGTGACACTGTCATAGTTATTATCACGATTACAAGAGACTTTTTCTCGGTCAGTATTCAGTCCACATTGCTCTCGCGATGTTCACTTTTACGTTTAGGTACATTTTGTGTCATATTAAATAAAGTTAAATATATTAAAATTTCAAACAGTATTTTGTTTATAATGTACAAAATACAACACTTTCTTCCAGAGAATATACTGAAGTTTAAATTGAAGTACTTTTTCAAATACTTTTTGTGTATATATTATCTTCTTCTTCTTCTTCTGGCTTTTATAACTCTCCAAGAGTTTCCGCCGCCATCACCAAATCACTCCACTTATCACGATCCTGCACAATCTCCCTCCAATCCTGCACTCCAAGATCTTCCAAATCCTTTTCTACAACATCCAACCATCTCTTCTGAGTACGACCCCGTGGCCTTTTTCCTTCTGGTTTCCAATTCAGTACCATTTTGGTTACTGCATCAGAATTCTGCGTCATGACATGTCCTAGCCATTGTAACCTTTGTCTCTTTATGAAACTATTTATTGATACTATTTTTAATTCCTCCTTCAGTTCTTGGTTGAACTTCCTACGCCACTGACCTGTCCTTGGGTCTTTAACCGGGCCACATATCTTTCGCCATATTTTGTTTTCAAAAGTCTTTAGTCGTCGTTCTGTAATACTTGTAGTAGTCCATATTTTACAACCATATGTTAGTATCTGTCTTATGATTGATGTATATAGACTTATTTTTGTTCGTTTTGAAAATAATTTACATTTAAAAAACTTCAGCAAGGCGAAAAACGCTCTTTCTGCTTTTGTTATTCTCGACCCGATCTCATAGGACCAATCATTTTTAGTATTAAGTAATGTACCTAGATACTGAAATTGTTCGACTTTTTCATATGGTAACGTCTCTAAAACATCTAACGATGTTTCCATGTCTAATAGTTCCATTAATTTTGTTTTGTCTACGTTTATGTGTAGCCCTATTCGTTCTGCTGCGTGTTCTAATGCTTCAGTAGCTCTCACTGTATCATCCAATGTTTCTCCTATGATATTAAGATCATCTGCAAAACCTAACACTTTTATATGATATTCATCCACGTTTATTCCTCTTGCTTCGTTTTGCAAAACTCGTACTGCCTTTTCTAGGGCTATGTTGAATAATAATGGGGATAGTGTGTCCCCCTGTTTTAGTCCCGTTTCAACATTAAACGCCTCTGACGTAGTACTTTCTACTCTGACTTGGTACTTCACTACTTCCATAGACAGTTTGGTTAGATTTATTAATTTTTTTGGGAAACCAAATTCTTCCATTATGTTGTACAGGCTATTTCTATGAATGCTGTCATAAGCTTTCCTAAAGTCAACAAACATTTGCCATATGTTTTGGCGATATTCATATTTCTTCTCTATTAAACGCGCTCGATATAATGTAAAATAAATATCGTATAACTGTATCCTAACCATGCACGCGAAAAAAAAACTGTAATTTATCTAATATTCTATTTATTACATTAAACTGAATTTTATAGTGTTTTAGATTCTGAGTGGAACTATGAATCTATTGATTTTACAATGATATGTGATTATTTTTATTTTTGTGTCTGTCTGCACGTTTTAGGACAATAAAAGTGCTTGGATTTTCTTCAACAGCACCTTTTCTGATAGGAAAGTGAATCTAGTTGGTACTTTGGTTGATCAAAAGTAAAAATTTCTCTTAAACAAATGACCGTAGGTACATGCAATTTTGACTGAATGTTTACATTAGCATTTTCTATACACCATAACATTTTACAAATTTTTTGACTTATAATGACTTACTTAATTAATTATAGGTGCCTATTATTCGTCAATTTTTTTTTCATACTATAGATTTGTATATAATATTCATTATGCCTAGACTGACATACCGTCTACACTCAGAATCGTTTTTCTTATACAATGATATTGTATCATTGAATTCAAATTTAATACCATCCATTATACAGTGACCCACGTGCAACCTACTGTACAGCAGAGCACCTTTTTTTGTCTATATATTATATTTATACCTTTATACTGTATACTTATGAGCCATAATTATTATGAAGTCATTACATATTATACTATTTGTATATTCATTGTATATTTGTTCTTGTATAATCATTTTTTTAGATTCTGAGCGGAGCAAGGAAGCTAGTGGTTTTACAATGGTGTTTATTTTTTTATTTTATTTTTATTTTTTTTATATCCTGCATACAAAATTTCTACCAGAAGGAGTGCTTTGATTACAACATATAGTACCTTATCTTTTAGAAAATTGGACCAAGATGGTACTTTAGAGAGGTCATTTTTCGATTTTCTCAATAGTTATTTAATGCCACGGGAAAAAGTACTGAAAAATTACGAAAAACCGCTTAAAATGGGATTTTAATTTCTAACAATTTGTTTATCACCGTAGCAACGAATAAAAAAAATAATAATTAAATAAATAAAATAATTAATGACAATATAAAATATACAGACTGACAAACCGTCTCCGTTCAGAATCGTTTTTCTTATACAATGATATTATATCATTGAATTCAAGTTTAATACAATCCATTAAACAATGACCAACTTGTAACCTACTGTACAGCTGAGCGACATCCACTTACCTGCCTTTTTTTATTATTTTCTTCTTGTATTATTATAATATTTTTTTTTAAAAAAAAAGAAAATAGGGAATATGTTATGAGAAGGTAACACTATAATAGTTACTATCAAGATTACAAGAGACTTTTTAGCAGTCAGTATTTAGTCCTCATAGCAAGTGTATAGATAGGAATACTTATTTTATACTAATTTTATTATTTTAAGCTGTGGATTCACCATTGTTTTCATTGCAATCGTGTACCTATGACCCATGCACATCGCTTTTGTGTATTGAAGATTGTACACACACTTTGCGTATTACATTAAATGTTATAAGAAGGTATTGTGTTACAATTCGTTACGAGATCCATTTGAATATAATTACCGCATATATCTATATATTACATATTATATAACTATAGGTAATATGTAATTACTAACTAGTACTTACAATTCTAGATCTACAGGCCACGGACCCCTGCACTCTCAATGAATTCATCGATTTATCTATAATCAGTACTAACAATAACGTATTTTCTGGCTCATGATGATTGTCGTACGTTAAGTACATTTTAAGTGAAATATAGCCGTCTATAGAATATAATATAATAATATAATTTGTTAACTATATATATAGTAGGTATACAATATAAATTGAGATAACTCATTTGTTATAATAATTAGTTTATAATAAATTATAATATTTGTACACATGCATGTCTACTAGTACATTATGTATAACATTTACCTATAGTATATCATTTAGTATTCATATTCAACCATAAATAATAAATAAACAGTTTTGATTGTCTTTTTATTATTTTATTATTTTTACACAGAATGGCATGTAAATTAAATATCGTATAACTGTATCCTAACTATGCACGCGAAAAAAAAACTGTAATTTATCTAATATTCTATTTATTACATTAAACTGAATTTTATAGTCTTTTAGATTCTGAGTGGAACTAACTATGAATATATTGATTTTACAATGATGTGTGATTATTTTAATTTATTTAATTTTTTTATTTTTGTGCCTGTCATCACGTTTTAAGACAGTTAAAGTGCTTGGATTTTCTTCAACGGCATCTTTTCTGATAGGAAAGTGAATTTAGTTGGTACTTTGGTTGGTCAAAAGTAAAAATTTCTCAATAGTTTTCAAAAGAAAAATAAAATAAAAATTAAGGAAAAACAGGAATTTTTACGCAAAATCTGTTTTCGAGAAAATCATTATATATTGTTAATATTTTATTTATTGATAATCATTATTATGTTAGCCGGAGCCCTACAATCATAAAATATATATGTGTCACCTAAACCGGAGGGGCTTAATATATTATTATAGTCAGCGTATAATATGCCTTATGTGCATATTATGATGCTTATAAAATAAATGTAATGATGTAACATACGTTACAGTATTTATACTGTAACCTTTATACCTTTATACTGTATACTTATAATCCATATTACTATGAAGTAATTACAAATTATACTATTAGTATGTTCATTATATTTATATATATATATATATATATATTTGTTCTTGTATACTTATGTTTATTATTATATAATTTTTTTTTTAAATTATTTTCTTCTTGTATTATGATTATATTTTAAAAAAAAAAAAAAGAAAATAAGGAAGAAGTTTGATGAGATAACACTGTAATAGTTATTATCACGATTACAAGAGAATTTTTAGCAACCAGTATTCAGTAAACATTGCTGGTGCGATGTTCACTTTTACGTTTAGGTACATTTTGTGTCATATTAAATAAAGTTAAATATATTAAAATTTCAAACAGTATTTTGTTTATAATGTTCAAAATATAACACTTTCGACGATAAAAATTGACATTCGACATTGGTCTATTGATTTATTGAGATTTTTAAAGAATGAGACAAAATCAAATATTATGAATGACAATATTGATTTAAACTATGACGGTAAGTCTAAAGATAGCGTAGATAAATGATATGCAGTTGTACATGATTTAGACATTTAATAAAGCATACAATAAGTAATAGTTGAAATTAGATAACAAAAGTTTGGATAGACCCTGGTCCGTCTGTATAATACTTGCTTTGAAGTTAACTAACCTTTAATAATTTGTTTTAACGAACATTCTTGTATCATTTTAGATTCTGAGCGGAGCGATGAATGTATTGGTTTTACAATGATGTGTGTTTTTATATTTTTTTTTGTGTCTGTCATCACGTTTTGGGACAGTCAAAGTGCTTCGATTTTCTTCAATAGTACCTTTTCTGATAGGAAAGTGAATCTAGTTGGTACTTTGGGGGGTCAAAAGTAAACATTTTCCAGTAGTTTTCACAAGCGCCGGGAAAAACAACATAAAAATTAAGGAAAAACGGGAATTCTTACGCAAAATCGATTTTCCAAAAAATCGAATTTGGTTTTTGGTGTAACTTTAAAACAAATGACCGTAGATACATGAAATTTTCACTGGTTATTTATATTTGCATTTTCTATACACGATAACATTTTCAAAATATTTTGATTTACTTTGAAGTGTTTAGAGACATTTTCATTTTTCATTTTTTTTTAGTTTTTTTTTTTGAAATATCAATAAATTTTATTTGTTTTTTGCGAAAGCTTGAAAATTTAATAGAAGGCTCCTAATATGTTGTTTCAAAGGCAGATGAAAAATATTAAAAATCCTTAATCACAATTTTTTTTTATAAGCATTTAAAGTTCAAAAATTTACAAAATATGGAAAAATCACGAAAATTAGCAAATTATTTTGAGTTAAGAATTCGTAAAAATTTTTCTTTTTAAATCTAAGATTTGAAAATGAAACACTTGATTCCTTATAAGATTATCTACCTTTATCAATAAAAAAATCTCTACCGGACAGTCAAGTTAAATTTTTATGAGCGTTTGAAATTCAAATTTTTACAACATTGGATATTCACTCGATTACTCATGTAGCGATTTCCTTATTTTGTTGCAATTCAAAAACGAACAACTGTAGATACATGAAAATTTTATTCAATGTTTAAATTAGCATTTTCTATACACCATACAATTTTGAAAATATTTTGACTCTTTTAGAGCTGTTTATGGACATTTACAGCTTTCATTTTTTTTTTAGTTTTTTTTTCTATAAATATCAATAAAGTTTTATCTGTTGGGCCAAAAAGTGTAAAAAATTAATACAAGGCTCCTGATATATTGTTACAATAGCAGTTGAAAAATGTTAAAAATACATAGGCACAGTTTTTTTATTAAGCATTTAAAGATCAAATTTTGACAAAATTTATCAAAATCTCGAAAATTATCAATCATTGTAATTAATAAATTATAAAATGTTCAGTTTTTATAGCTAAGGATTGCAAATTCAACACAAAGGTTCTCGTAAATAGTTCATACCGTAACCAAAAAATCTAAAAAATATATGAACACACTTATTTTTTACAGACATTTTAAATTCAAATTTGGACGAAATTACATATTAAAAAACCTAGAATAATTATTTTAGTTATTTTGTTGTGATTGAATAATATTATTCGTGGGTACTTGAAACTTCTAAAGTGTACTATTATATATCTATGATAGTATCACGGTTTTTGTTGATGTATAACGTGTTATAAGTATCTAATGGATATTGTGATATGATTAATTTGGAATTTATTATAGGTATCTATTATAGGTCAATTTTTTGTTTAATACCATAGATATGTATATAATATGTCTTATACATAGACTGACATACCGTCACCGCTCAGAATCGTTTTTCTTATACAATGATATTATATCATTGAATTCAAATTTAATACCATCCATTATACAGTGACCCACTTGTAACCTACTGTACAGCAGAGCGACACCCACTTGCCCACCTTTTTTTAATTTAATTTTCTCATATGTCCTCATATAATTTGTTATTATTTTTTTTTTAATTTTTAATTATCTTCTTTCAGTTATTTAACTATTTTACTTTTTGTAACCAAGAGCAACCTTATAACAAACGAAATACAATTAACATATTATATTTTGGCCGAACCTGTTGTATTTTTGGCATTCTGATTTTGAGCTCTGAAAGTATTTATTCAAATAGTAGTGCCAGGTCGTTTGGATGATTTCTCCAAATATGTAATATAGGACGGACGCATTCCATGGTAATATTATCTCAATGTATTATCATGATAACCAAAAATTCATTGTCTATCTTGGTTGAAATCGAAATTTTCTATTTTTTCATTTTCCTTCAGTTGAAATCGGGTTATACAACTAAAGTTGGAGTTCATCCGAAGTTAACAGCCTCAAAAAATGACTAGACCGTTTTCAATAAAAGTGTACAGTGTAACCTTAGTGAAAATTTTAGTATATTGCAGTTGTTCATGATTTAAACATTTTATATAGCATACAATAAGACGTAATAGTTGAAATTAGATAACAAAAGTTTGGATAGACCCTGGTCCGCCTGTATAATACTTGCTTTGGAGTTCTCATTTTTTTAGAGATTTAGAGACCATAGAAATCGACATTCAACATTGTTGTATTGATTTGTTGAGATTTTTAAAAATTGAGACAAAATCAAATATTATGAATGATAATATTGATTTAAACTATGACGGTAAGTCTAAAGATAGCGTAGATAAATGATATTATGGTCTGTGCGAATATAACGCAAAAAGGACGACTGTTTAGCACATTTTTAGTGTCGCACTATTTACAATTTTTTACATAAATCAACCACTGATCCTTATTAATTGATGTTTAAATCAAAAGTTAAATACCACCCGGGTCAATCACCTTCATATCCGAGCCTGCAGTATACATACGATATCGATAGATAGTTATTTAACTATTTTATTTTTTGTAACCAAGAGCAACCTTATAACAAACGAAATACAATTAACATATTATTTTTTGGCCGAACCTGTTGTATTTTTGGCATTCTGATTTACCTACTTTAGATGTATTAAAAAACTATTATTAAAAAATTTAGTACACCATAATTTTGTTAAGGAATCAAGCAGTTTTATTTTTGCATTCGATTTCATTTTTTTTGTTTTTATTGGATGTACAAAACAAGTATTTATAACGCGTTGAACACGTAGTTTATTTAAATACAACTGAGTGGATCATTCTAATATTCTATTTGTTTAATTTTTTATTTAATGACCTCGAGTACGGAATGGGACAATTGGGCGCCGCCGACTGGGCGCGGCTGACTGGCCGCGGCTAATTGGGCGCGAGATCAAGTGGGCGCGAGTCAAGTGGACGCCAGGACAGCTGGGCGCTAAATAATTAATACTGCACATTATTACTATTAATATTATTATTATTATTATTATTATTATTATTTTCATTATTTTTATATTTTGTTTCGTCATACATTTTCGTCAATGGTCTCTTATATTTATTTTCTATAGGTATTTTATAAATTCATTTGGTAGTTATACGCAATGCCTCTTAAATATTCGACAGTGCTCCTGTTATTATAATCTCGAACAACTGTTAAGATACGTTGATCGGCATCCCTGTACTTTTTCAATTTCACTGGGGGGTTGTGTCCAGCAACAAGGTGTTCATAGTAGAAGTCACGATTGGCTTGCACTTTTCGTAAGCCGTCTATAAGCTTCCAGATTGTAGGATGATCCATACCTAATTCCGTCTGAAGGCGGCGATGAGCTGCTTCTGCATGGTTATTAGTTCTATCCTGTTGGTTTAATGTTCTGTTATAGACATTCCACATTTCGTGAGGAAACAAAGGCTGTCTTCGTCCATTACCTCTCCTGTTCATTCTTCCGACGTAGTTGTCCTCAAACCAGTCTAAAATTGGTTGCACATCATTTGGTAGGTTATCAGATAATGATAATAAAGCATTATCTATGTTTTCAATTGGAATAAACGCCAAAGCTATAACCATTTTGGCATACAACGAAAAGTTGGGTTCATTGTTATATCGATTTATCAGTCCTAATTCACCCAATTTTTTTTTCATATTTTTTGCCAAATGAAAAAAACAACCTCGAATTTCTGCAGTAGGAAATATTTTAGAAACACTTTTGAAAGCAGCCATTTCATAGTCACAAGTGATAGACTTTGGATCGAAGTTTGGTGGCAGTAACGCTTTAATCATACCAAATAATTTGTCGTAAGTTTCTCTACATTTATTAGGCAAAAGTGCGTAGAAAATAGGGTGAACGCCTCCAAATTTTTTTGCTAGAATAACATAAATTTGTTTAAATAAATTTGGCGCAATTTTAAATGTCCCATCCATAAAAAAATCATCGCAGGTTCTTGCTATTTCTAGGTTTCGTTGACGGCAAAAAATTAGGATTCTTTCAGCACCCGAACCACTATCAGCAAGCAGAAAGTTTTCAAAAGTTCCAGGTTCTGACTCATACATTTTTTAACATTCACGAATTTCAAGATCAGCCAGAGTTGTAGGATTTGACGGAGCTTGATTAATTTCATTGCGTTTCCTCCTGATTAACTTCTTTAAAGCTTGCTGGTTGGGAAGAGCTCCTTGACAAGCGATATCAGTATTTTGGGTACATTCGTTGATTACTTGGCACGTCGATTCTTGTGTTTCTACAGCCCTTTTCTTAATTTTGGTTACGATTTTGTCTGCTGCCACTTTAGCTGCAGATGGTTCGTGGTTATGCATATTGATAGATTTTACGACTTCGTGATTAACTATATGCACGCGCGCTTTACAATGCCGTTTTTGTTCGCATCGCCAAAACTCAGTTTTTTCGTCTGCAGACAGTTTGTCAAATATGTACAAAAATCCGTTTTCATAAAACTTTTCACGATTTCGCTGTGACGTTATGTTTTCCATGTTGAACGTTGTATGGGCTGAAAACTACTAGGTACTTCGAAAGTAAATATGATCTTCCTATAAGCACGCAATCACTATCCCCATATTATTTTTATTGTTTCGTTATCGTATTTGTTCGCACCGCGTCGTTAGCTATAGAGATATCATATTATATTATACTATTACCTATTATAGATATAATAGTATTTTATTGAATTGCCCTCGCATGCACACCTCACCACAGCTGATTAAACATAATCGAAGTTTAACCGTAAACGGTGCAACTGGCCCTTACTAATCTTATAGTCTTCGGTAATATTTTATCTTATCTTAATAAAACCTATAATACGACGTATCCGGTCAGTTTTCACCGGATAACATATTATTGTAACTTGCCAGTATGCTTGCACAAATAGTTGTAAAAGTTGTCATGCAAATTGCAAAATAAATAATACACATTACACATAACACAACACTCGCGCCTACTTGTCCCCGCGCCTACTTGTCCCAGCGCCGAGTTGCCCGAGCCGAGTTGGCCGTGCCCAGTTGGCGGCGCCCACTTGTCCTAGACCGCCTCGAGTAGCCTATAACTTATTAATTACACAACAACAATAATTACTAAATATCTAATTTGGACAGCAATCATACTGTAATTTATATTTTAATATTTGTTACGCCCTAAAAACTGCAACGCATTTAAAGTTCGATTTTGACAACATTTATTAAATTTAAGATCTAAAAACGATTACGTAGTTAACAATGTATAAAATGTTCAACATATATAACCATGGGTTCAACATTTAAGACATGGTTCTACTTTAAGGTTATACTTTAACCAAAATATCTCAAAAATACATATAAAACACAGTTTAATTTTATAGTTATTTTATGTTCCAATTTGGACATACCTAATTACATATTAAATAACCACGAATAATAATTTTAGGTAGTTATTTTGTTGTTATTGTGAGATATTAAATCAACTTAACGTACTTTTAAATGATTAAAATAGAACATTTCTAGTAGCGTCAAAAGCATTGGGAAAAACAATAAAAAAAATAAGGAAAAACGATCATTTCTATTTCAGGTTTTGACAAAATCTATTTTGTTTTTAACAAAAATTTGAAATCAACTGTAACTACTTACTTAATTGTATTTGTATTACCAAAATACATATTAAGTTTAATGTTACAAACAGAAATATTTTTAATTCTAAAACAATTAATATTGCAATTAAATGATGGTGTTCATAAATTCAAATTTTCAGCGCCGTTTACACATATTATACTAAAACATTGTCAAACAGTCGCGGATGATAGGTAGGCTTGTGAAAATAATCGTAAGATATGTTATTTATCAAAGTATCGCATTTATGTATTCGATACTTCATATGATTGTACCGAAATACAAGATACAATCGTATCTAAGATACGTGCAGATCAGGGGGGTGTTGGACATGGTTATTTTAGAGGCCCCTTGAATTTTATTTGTATTTTTTAAAGATGGGAATACATATTTTATACTAATTTTATTATTTTAAGCTGTGGGTTTACCATTTTTTTCCTTGCAATCGTATACCTATATCCCACGCACATCGCTTTTGCGTATTGAGATCGTACACACCCTTTACGTATTAGATTAAATGTTATAAGAAGGTATTGTGTTACAATTCGTTACTAGATCCGTTTCAATATAATTACCTCATATTATATAACTATAGGTAAGTAATAGTAACTACTAACTTGTACTTACAATTCTAGATCTACAGGCCACGGTCCCCTGCACTCTCAGTGGATTCATCGATTTTTCAATAATCAGTACAAACAATAACGTATTTTGTGGCTCATAATGATTTTCATACGTTAAGTACCTTTTAAGTAAAATATAGCCATCTATAGAATTTAATATAATAATATAATATGTGAACTATATATAATATATATATGGTAGGTATACAATATAAATCGCGATAACTCATTTGTTATAATAATTAGTTTATAATAAATAACAATATTTGTACACACGCATGTCTACTAGTACATTGCATATAACATGTACCTAGTATAATATAATCTAATATTCATATTCAACCATAGACAATAAATGAACAGTTTTGATTGTCTTTTTATTATTTTATGATGTTTACACTTGAATCGCGTGTAAAATAAATATCATTTAAGTGTATCCTAACTATGCACGCGAAAAAAAAACCTGTAATTTATTTAATATTCTAATTATTACATTAAACTGAATTTTTTAGTCTTTTAGATTCTGAGTGGTACGATGAATGTATTGTTTTTACAATGATGTGTGTTTATTTATTTCCATTTTTGTGTCTCATCACGGATTGTGGCAGTAAAACTGCTTCGATTTTATTCAGCAGTATCTTGTTCGATGGGAAAGTGAATCTATTTGGTGAACACGGGTGGTCAAATTTTAAAATTCCCAATAGTTTTCAAAAGCGCCAAGAAAAACAACATACAAATTAAGGAAAAACAGGAACTTTTATGCAAAATCGACTATGGTTTTTGGTGTAACTTTGAAACAAATGACCATAGATATGAATTCTTAACTGGTTGTTTATATTTGTATTGATAATACTCTATAAAATTCTCAAAATATTTTGATTTGTTGTTAAAGGTCTAGGGACATTTTCAGTTTCCAATTTTCTTAGTTTTTTTTTCTATGAATGTCAATTCAACTTTATTTGTTGTATAAAAATACTTGGAAATGTAATACAAGGCTCCTACTATATTGTTACAATGACATTTGAAAAATATTTAAAATTCTTAGGCACAGTTTTTTTTTATAAGCATTTAAAGGTCAAATTTTTAGACCATTGAATATTCACTCGATTTCTCATGTAACGATTTTCTTATTTTGTTGTAATTCAAAAACGAATAACTGTAGATACATGCAAATATTACTGAATGTTTATTTTATTAATTATTATACTTGATAAAATATTCAATATATTTTGACTTGTTTTGGGCAGTTTAAGGACAATTTCATATTTCAATTTTTTCTTTCTATGAAAATCAATAAAGTTTTATCTATTGGGCCAAAAAGTGTAAACATTTAGTACAAGGCTGCTGATATATTGTTACAATAGCAGATGAAAAATATTAAAAATACATACTCATTATTTTTTTTTTTATAAGCATTTAAAGATCGAATTTTGAGAACATTTATCAAATTTAAAATTGAATAATAATTTTGTAGTTAAACATTTATAAAATATTCAACTTTTATAGCTAATGATTGAAAATTTAAAACAACATTCCACGTAAGTAGTTAATTTTGTTAAAAAATCTAAACAATACATAGACACAGTTTATTTTTATAGTCATTAATTAAATTTGGAAGAAATTACATAAAAAAAACCTAGAGTAACTATTTTATTTATTTTGTTATGAATTTATGATTGTATAATATTATTTGTTTGTACTTGGAACTTCTAAATTATACTATTATATATCTATGATAGTATCAGGGTTTGTTGTTGATGTATAAAGCGTTATAAGTATCGAATGAAAATTGTGATATGATTAATTTGGAATTAATTATAGGAACCTATTATACCTATTTCATTTTTTTTTAATACCATAGATAAGTATATAATATATATTTTTATACCTAGACTGATATACTGTCTCCGCTCAGAATCGTATCAATAACATATTTTTAATGGGTGCAAAAGCTTAAAAATTTAAGAGAAGGCTCCTAATAAAATGTTTCAAAGACCGATGAATATATTAAAAATCCTTAGTCACAGTGTGTGCGACAGCTGCACGTCAAGCCCGATGACGCGTGGGCGGCCTACACGTCGTATTTTTCAATTAGGTTTTACCATATATGTTTTGTATTGTAATTTAAATAATTGTTGAACACCTATAGAAAAATATAAAAGTTGTACCTGGGGCCTATATACATAGGTCCAGACAAGTATAACAACGAGCAGTGTCCGTTATTTTGCCGTCGTGGACGCCGAGCCGTCGTAGCCGCCGCCCGACCCTACATTTGGCAAATCCGTTTAGCCAGATTAAAGTATCAATACGCGTATTGAGGGACAAGTTTTTATCTCAACGACTTAAACGCGATAATCGCTCTATACAAATATAATAGCTACATAACCGCTCTATAGAAATATTAATAAAATAATAAGTAGGTATTACAAAAAATATACCAATTTGTTCACTACTACGTTTACTTACTTTTATTTTATATAATCTTAAATGTAAACAAAAATTATAAAAAATAGTTAAAATTGCAGTAAAATTAAAAAAATAGCCAAAATTGCATTTATTGCAATATAATTTTTTTTGTTTAAATTAAGAGTTTAACGAAACATATTTTAAACCCACTCATCAATAAATATAAGCATTTACAAAAAACATGCAAATGCAACAACTTCACTGCCCTAGTTATAAGTATCGAATGAAAATTGTGATGTGATTAATTTGGAATTTATTATAGGTACCTATTATACCTATTTCAATTTTTTTAATACCATAGATAAGTATATAATATGTCTTATACCTAGACTGACATACCGTCTCCGCTCAGAATCGTATCAATAAAATTTTTTTTGATGGGCGCAAAAGCTTAAAAAATTAATAGAAGGCTCCTAATATAATGTTTCAAAGACCGATGAAAATATTAAAAATCCTTAGTCACAGTTTGTGCGACAGGTGCACGTCAAGCCCGATGACGCGTGGGCGGCCTACACGTAGCGCGTCGTGTGTGACTTACCTCGTCGGTGACCTGTCGATAGCCCTGTATTAGTGGGTGAGTGGAGTGTGGACTGTATAATATTGGGATGGTTCAAATAGCTTACGGTCTAGGGTTAGTGCGAATAATAATATAAGACACAAGACGATTGGCTTATGAATAAGTTTACAAATAATTCAAATACAGAATAACCAAAAATTACTAATAACGTCGCGTACTTATCGCGAATAAAGGTAAACAATGGTAATTAACAGAATAATTGTGTGTACGACCTGATATGGAGTTGGTGA